AAAAAAATCCAAAGCACCTTGGTTTACCACTACCTCTATCATTTCAGTAATTTTTCTTTAGTCTAATGTGAACACGTCATTTAATGTCTTGTTGAGTTTTTCAAACGCCTTATCGATCTCTGTGTATTTATTCTTCCTTTTCTCAATATTAGCACCTTTTATACACAGGGAGATGACACTTTTGTATGGAGAGAGGACACTATTACACAGAGAGATGGCACTATTGCACAGTGAGATGGCACTATTACATGGAGAGATGGCACTATTGCACAGTGAGATGGCACTATTACATGGAGAGATGGCACTATTGCACAGTGAGATGGCATTATTACATGGGGAGATGGCACTATTGGACGGAGAGATGACACTATTGCACGGAGAGATGGCACTATTGCACGGAGAGATGGCACTATTGCACGGAGATATGACACTATTACACAGAGATGGCACTATTGCATATAGATATGCCACTATTGCACAGATATGGCACTACTGCACAGAGAGTTGACACTATTGCACAGAGAAAGAAATGCCTTGGAGATAGTTTTCTTTACACTTCTCTCTTTTTTTAATTAAACCATGAAAAGTTACTATTGTTTTCACAGTAATTTTTTTCAATATACATAAGTGACTACCTGGGTTTAGTTTAAGGATGACTTTGAGAACATATTTTCCTACCTATTAACACACTGACTCGACACCATAAACGCATGCCTAATAAAAGGTATATATGTTTTATAATATTAATCGTAAAGTTTGTTTAATGTGCACAGATACCTGCTGACAACTGAATGAGGAGTTCGGTGCCTAAGAACGCGTAATGAGAGACTGATGACACACTAGTGGGAGCCCGAGTGCTGGGAAGGCCAGGCAAGACTTGGTGGTGATATCTGTCAGGTCTGAGGGCACCTAGTACGTTTCCACGTGATGGCTCGTCCAAGCACTTGGGCTGGACGGCACAGCAACGGTCTCGCTCGTGCAGGTCAGCGTTCAATCCCCGACTGTCCAAAGGATTGTGTATCATTCCTTCCTCCCGTCCCATCCCAATCCTTTTCTCCGATCCCATCCACGTGCTATATAGTGGTACTGGCTTGGCGCTTTCTCCTGATAATCTCATCCCCCCCCACCCCCCCGCCCTCGTCACTAAGTTCGTCCAGAACGGGTTAAAGTCAGCCATATATCCTCAAAAGTGTTGTGATGAATGCCCCTAGTGTTTTATGACATACCTGTGGTTAAGGGGTCGCACTTCAGCTCCTCAGCTCTGCCATTTTAGCTGCTGCTTCACTTCATTGCTCTTTTATTATTATTATTATTATTATTATTAGTATTATTATTATTATTATTATTATTATTATTATTATTATTATTATTATTATTATGTTTGTGTGTGTATGCCGTACCTGAGTAGCCAGAACGCACTTCTCGGCCTACTATGCAAGACCCGATTTGCCTAATTGGCCGAGGGATTTTCTTTATTTTCAACAAAATATTTCCAATTTGGAAACGTTTAAATCTTTCATAGTGAGACGTCTTTCTGAGACAATCGGTTTGTGCGTTTAAGTAAGTTTGTGGTTACAACTGAGACTCGAGTTCTCGCCTATAGTGAAAGCATTTGATGAAAACAATTCCTGATCTGTTACTAACTGGCGCTCTTGGGTATTGGGCATATATAGTCTTGGTTATCCAATACTTTTAATAGTCTGTTGGCCGTTTGGTGAAGGTACTGGACTTGTCAGTTGTTTCATTGCTCCTGTCAGTCTGAGGCTAAAATCTTTCATGGTGAAGTCTTTCTGATATTATATATATATATATATATATATATATATATATATATATATATATATATATATATATATATATATATATATATATATATATATATATATATATATATATATATTGTACAGAGAACACACACATATATATAACAATATAACAATCAGCGTTCGAAGACCTCGTCCAGCTCCTCGGAGATTTGGTGTGTACCCAACATACAGCACACATTTCCTCTCTGAACTGCGACACTGAGGCGCTGGAACAGGAAGCTGGTCGCTCGTGGGTCTTTAGTTTTCCCAGTGAGTTCCTCGCTCACCTCCTTTAAAAAATTAAGTGCACATTTACCCCAGGCGCCCAGAGTCTCAGAGCCTATCGGCACGAACCTGTAATAACGTTCTAGGTCTCTGTACTTGTTGGTTTTCTGGGTCTCCCTGAAGGTGGCTGCCCCACCTCCCTCCACTGAGCTGAAACGTAAATAGGTATCAGCCAATGGAGATGCACACGTGTAATCCCATACGATCTGTTTACCTTCCCTCCATGGCTGCAGGGTGACTACATCTAGGCGTTTGAGGCTGTTGTCAGGTCTGCACAACTGAGGTTCCCTTTGTGCTGGACACCCAGCTGTAGCCAAACTTCTCTTGATGATATCATTGACTGTTTCATGTCTGGAAATCTTATGCGGCAGCTTTGCAATATTGCAATACGGCAGCTATACCATGGCTGCCGTATTGGTCTGCCCGTGCACGGACGCAAATATACCGGTGTTCGGTGGAGATAGGGGCAGCAAGGCACAGGGCAAAACCCATACTTAGGTCCCGATAATCCAGGCGGGTGCCCAAGGCGGAATTAGTGACTGCCAACAGGAAGTCCCCGTTTTGGGGGACTTGCACAGCTAAGATACACGCTCTGTCCTTCCCCGAAGCTGCCTCCAGCAATGATGTGGCGATGTTCTCCACTATGGGGCAATCCCATTTGGCCTGTTAGCCATCGTTTGGAAACGTTAGTCGATGATGAGAACTGACAAGAGTGTCCCACTGACCAGCTCCTTCCGCAAATTTGCGATCACGTATCCCAATGGAGGTCCTCGGGTATTCTGGCAATATTTCATTCACTAATTTATTTGCAGCACTGGTCGAGGATAAGAATGCCGGCAATGCTAACTGTGTCGCCTTGCGAATACCTATACCCCCAAGTCTAACTGGGAGCGTTGCTTGACCACTGGTCCTCTTGCTGGGAGAGGTTTAACACTTTCCTAGTTATTGACTTTACGAGTGAGTCGTATTCCATTAATTTTGGGCTGTCGAAGGAGGGGCACACCTGAGAAAATAGGTGTCTGCCTAGGTGGTGGAATAGGTGAGAAAATAGGTGTTTGTATTTGAGAAAATAGGTGTCTGCAATACCTTCTCACAAGGTATCTGGACAAAGCCAGGCACCTTGTGAGAAGGTACAAAGCACCGTGAGCATCCAAAGCCCCTATTCTATCCTCCATCCTCCTCAGGTCTTTCAGCTTTTCTTCGAGGACTACCTCAATGGCGTTCGAGCCCAGAGGTGCCCCTAGCAGCACACTGTTGGTGGGAGGGATCACTTGGGCTCCTGGCAATAAGATTCGTACTGCATCTATGATTGGTTGGCTGGATGGGATGATTTCACACTTTGATGTGTTTAAGGTAAGGCCTAGTTCCTCTCCCTTCGATTTCACTAGCTGAAGATCTCCTAGCAGGGATTCCTGTGTCCCTGCCAGGGTGCCATCGTCCAGGAACCAGATGTTGAATTCGCTGGACAATCTGCTTGTGACCTCTTTAGCTGCCAAGCAGAAAAGGAAAGCGGCAAGTGGGTCTCCCTGCTGGACACCTTCTGCGGAAACAACTTCATGTTCCTCAAACAACAGTGTCGAATCCCTACTGAACCCTGCTGAAAAGAAGGGAAGTTTGAGAAGGAAAGCTTGTTCGAACTGCTTCCAGTACCACATCTCTTTTTACCAGGTTGAAGGCATTTTTAAAGTCTAATTTAATTAATGCCTTATTTTCTGGGAAGTGCTTAATATAGGTTCGTGCTGCATGAGGCATATATATATATATATATATATATATATATATATATATATATATATATATATATATATATATATATATATATATATATTTCATTGAATATGACCGCATATTCTGTATTTATTATTTTCTGGTTTAGGGCTTTGTAAGATCTCTTCACATGAGAATGAACCATGGAGGTTCGAAACGTTGTGCAAATTGTATAAATAAGTGTAATACATTCTATAGTAATTCACTTCTTTTCTTCACCTTAAAAGTACGAAAATGAGTTTTGGAGAACTCCTATTTCAACTAAGCCCTGATGCTAAGAAAATAGTTAGAGGGATAGAAGCCCTAAACCAGAAAATAATAAATACAGAATATGCGGTCATATTCAATGAAACATGTTTGAAAGAAAACCTGCTGCCAGTATACACCAATGAAATATATATATATATATATATATATATATATATATATATATATATATATATATATATATATATATATATATATATATATATATATATATATTATATTCTGCTACATTATATACTGGCATATTCTAGATATGTTGTCTTGCTACTCCCTGTCTGAAAATCAGCTAAACAAAACTGACTTTGAAGACATTACATTCACATAACCATTTCACTGATTATCTGCACACTTTGACTGTAGTTTTCACTGTAACTTCCCCGAAACTCAAACTTCTGCTAATCTCCTTGTCTTACTTGTATTAGGAAAGTTATGGTGGCAAACTTTCCAATGCAAATCATGCGCATCTCTTACAAATCAGGGGTCCCAAACAGCAGTTGTTTATGATGCCCTTTTACTCATATATGTTTATAGATATCCGAACATGTACATGCTTATACTAATACATGTTCATACATTTCTCGAGCATTCTTAGGCATAAGCCCAGACAAATTCACGTATATAGCTAAACAAGTACACATAGATACGGAAACCAGCTGAAGTATATTCGCATACATTCACAATGATATGCTCAAACATGTAAACGTATATACCCAATCACGTATACAAATAACCAAACAAGACAAGTTTGTATCCAATCATGTAAAGGAATATTTCCCAGCATGCATAGGTATATACATTATCCAAAAATTAACACACATGGCTAGTAAACAAAGGAATGTTTTCACATCAAACATTCAGATGTATATTATGTTTTACCTGTATTTGACCGCTGGCACTAGAGGGTTGTCTTTCTGAGTAATCAGAGACGCAGAGAAGGCCAGGTACTTGTCCTTAGATGTGTAGAAGTCGCACCTTCCTGTAACACCAGTACGGCTTAATGTGTGTGGGATACTAGCAAGTTATTTTGAGGATATAACTTAACATGCATCGTACACAATTATGACACGTAGTAAATTGTATCTAGGAACTTTACGAGCACACATGCACATAGTTATCATCAAGACTTTGACGTAATATTTAACATACTGCCCAATTATTATGGAAACAGAGGAGATGGATAATGCGCAGTGCGTATGTTGGCCTATTTGACAATTTACCTCACACTCGGTTATATATTCTGCTGCTTCAATCAAATTTAATTAATTTTTACTCTGCCTTTGAAAATGTTGACAGAGTCAACGAAACGCATCTCTTACGTCAGGCCATAATAAAATAGTAAAATTCAATTTGGAGAGGTAATTTTTCAGATTCCATCTCAAGTGAAATACATTAGAAATATACAAATATTCCTGCTAGAATCATTCATCTTCCTCTTTTGCGTATTTAAAACACACACACACACACACACACACACACATATATATATATATATATATATATATATATATATATATATATATATATATATATATATATATATATATATATATATATATGTACATATATATATATGTCGTACCTAATAGCCAGAACGCACTTCTCAGCCTACTATTCAAGGCCCGATTTGCCTAATAAGCCAAGTTTTCATGAATTAATGTTTTTTCGTCTACCTAACCTACCTAACCTAACCTAAACCTAGCTTTTTTTGGCTACCTAACCTAACCTTACCTATAAATATAGGTTAGGTTAGGTTAGGTAGGGTTGGTTAGGTTCGGTCATATATCTACGTTAATTTTAACTCCAATAAAAAAAAATTGACCTCATACATAGAGAAAAGGGTTGCTTTATCATTTCATAAGAAAAAAAATTATAGTAATATATTAATTCAGGAAAACTTGGCTTATTAGGCAAATCGGGCCTTGAATAGTAGGCTGAGAAGTGAGTTCTGGCTACTAGGTACGACATATATATATATATATATATATATATATGTACATATATATATATATATATATATATATATATATATATATATATATATATATATATATATATAATTTATGTTGTATATAATAGGGCAAGTTGCCTAACAAATCGAATTTTCCTGAAATAATAAATTTTTCAAAATTAATTTCCAATGGAATGATAAAACACTCCATTACATTATACATGAATTTATTTTTTTTAAATTTGAGTTTAACATAAAAATTTGATAAAACCTATTCTAGCTTAACATAACTAATTCAGTAATTCATTTTCCTATATAATACAATAATATTAATTGTGTTAGGATAATCTCTTTCAAGAGAAATTTGGCCTGCTCTTTCCTATCATCATGTTACTTCAGTACATCTACAACATGTAGATACTACAAGCAAGTGTAGTACCTATTGGTGAATCGACGTCTGCACCTCTGCACTTCAGCGCCATCTACATAGCCGATGACGGAGAGTGCACCAGCCATTGAATTTAGAATATCCTGTGCTCTCAAAGCTGATACAACCATCTGATATACGCTCTGTTTATTAGTGGATGTTTTCAGCCAGCGCTTTATTCTCAGCACCTGTTAATTCATTTTTTGATTTTATTCATTGTAGAGTAACGTAACCACTGTTTTATTTTGTTATTTTTTTACTTTATAATCTTGTTTGTTTGCACTGTACATAGCCAAGGAATTGTCTCTGTTCATATTTATTTTCAAGTTAATTAAAGTTTCATTGTTCATACGTTTTGTTTTGCGTGTTTTCCCTTACTTTACCACAAGAGGCAACAGCCAAGCAGTCAACTTTTTTTTTGTAAATGTGACTGGCATTGACACCAGCCATTAGGAGCACTGCCGAACACCTACACTTCTTTTTTCCATCACAATTGGAATAAATCAATTTGAAAATAAATATTTGAAAATAAAGAAAATCAACATGGTTGTTAGGCAGAGCTGGTCCTCCATATTAGGCCAAGTAGTGCGACTTTTGCTATTAGGTATAATATATTAATATATAAATATATATAGTTTTACCACTTTATTGCCCAAAAATTATTTTCTCGTTCATATATTATAATATATTAATATATAATAGTAGTGCGGCTTTTGGTACAAAATAATTTTCTCGTTAATATATTATGCCACTGAGATTTCTTTGTGATATAGGGAAGGGCATTAAAGGTGTGAACATCATTACCCTCAGGCCAGAGTGTAGGTGGGCAAATCATTAATTCCTGGTGGAGCACCGGTATGGGCCTCTACAACCTTTCAATGAATTCAGTCGAGTTCTAGGTTGGTGGGCGTTTGTCCTATTGTCGCCGAGTGAGTTCAATATCTGGGAATCTACAGAACGCTGGGTCAAATGATTTTATCATTGATATATCAGTGGCACACACATTTGTTTCATATATATATATATATATATATATATATATATATATATATATATATATATATATATATATATATATATATATATATATATATATATATATGTCGTACCTAGTAGCCAGAACGCACTTCTCAGCCTACTATGCAAGGCCCGATTTGCCTAATAAGCCAAGTTTTCATGAATTAATTGTTTTCGACCATCTAACCTACCTAACCTAACCTAACCTAGCTTTTTCGGCTACCTAACCTAACCTAACCTATAAAGATAGGTTAAGTTAGGTAGGTAGGGTTGGTTAGGTTCGGTCATATATCTACTTTAATTTTAACTCCAATAACAAAAAATTGACCTCATACATAATGAAATGGGTAGCTTTATCATTTCATAAGAAAGAAAATACAGAAAATATATTAATTTAGGAAAACTTGGCTTATTAGGCAAATCGGGCCTTGCATAGTAGGCTGAAAAGTGCGTTCTGGCTACTAGGTACGACATATATATATATATATATATATATATATTATATATATATATATATATATATATATATATATATATATATATATATATTTATAAATATATTTGTATATATTGTATATATTTGTATACCATATTGTACCCTATATGTAACTTCTTTTTGTAGAAAAGTTCATATAAAACATATATGTGTACATACAAAAGAATGGGGGTGGTAGGAGAAGATAATATTAGTGTTCAGTGAGAAACCACAAGGTCTCCTCTGAATACTTTTTATTTTCTTCTCCGAGGCTATGGGGTCCCCACATTGGCACCATATATATATATATATATATATATATATATATATATATATATATATATATATATATATATATATGTCGTACTTAGTAGCCAGAACGCACTTCTCAGCCTACTATGCAAGGCCCGATTTGCCTAATAAGCCAAGTTTTCATGAATTAATTGTTTTTCGACTACCTAACCTACCTAACCTAACCTAACCTAACTTTTTCGGCTACCTAACCTAACCTAACCTATAAAGATAGGTTAGGTTAGGTTAGGTAGGGTTGGTTAGTTTCGGTCATATATCTACGTTAATTTTAACTCCAATAACAAAAATTTGACCTCATACATAATGAAATGGGTAGCTTTATCATTTCGTAAGAAAAAAGTAGAGAAAATATATTAATTCAGGAAAACTTGGCTTATTAGGCAAATCTGGCCTTGCATAGTAGGCCGAGAAGTGCGTTCTGGCTACTAGGTAGGACATATTATATATATATAATATATATATATATATTATATATATATATGTCGTACCTAATTGCCAGAACGCACTTCTCGGCCTACTATGCAAGGCCGATTTACCTAATAGGCCGATTGATTTTCTTTATATTCATATATAGTTACCTATTGGTTTGTTTTAATATTTTTATATTATATTAAAACATAAATTATTGATTTAGTTAAGGTAGTTTAGGTTAGGTTAAGATAGGTTAGGTTAGGTAAGGAGGAAAGGGCCCTGAAAGATATTGTTGAAAGGAACGTTATCCCTACAGACAAAAATCAGAGGATAAAATTGACGATGTACTATATAACCAAAAAAACGGCCAACCCACTCATGAAAAACTCTCCAGACACAAAGCAGAACGTCTTAAAGGAGACCAACGTCGTCAATGTCTGCAAATGCCCACTTGGGGACTGTAAGCCCCAAAGAACTCAGTATATAGGCAAGAGAACAACATCTCTTTCCAGGCGATTAACAATGCATAAGCAACAGGGCTCCATTAAGGAACATATAATCTCTTCCCACAACCAGACCATCACCAGACAAGTCTTAACAAACAACACAGAAATCATCGATAGATACAGTGATAGCAGGTGGCTTGACATGTCGAGGCACTACACATCAAAAAGTCAACACCAGCAATCAACAGCCAATTAATGCACAACTATATTCTACCCACTTCAAGACTCCGTACCAATATAGAAGCATCAAGAGGAAGTATTGGCCAATAGGCCCTTTGCAGTTTCTTCCTTTGTTCCCTCTCATTTATCCAATTTATACCCCTTGCACCGTGTTCTGTCTTGTGTTGGTCAAAAGTTTGTTCACCTCATCCAAAACTGTTGCAACATATCACCTCACCCAAATGCGAGTATATAAGACAAGCTGTTCAATGTTAGCATTAAGTAAAACTCTGTTTAGTGTTTTCAGGTTACAGTTGTGTGTGTGTAAACTAAAGTCTTTGAAAATGTAATAAGTTATTACGAAACACGTTCAAGCGTCGCGTCAGACTAGAAATAAAAATGAATTTTAGAGATTTGACTTTTCAATTACCATCGACAGTATAAAAAAACATAAGAAATATTGAGAAAATTTTAGTATTATTAATCTTACTTTTTCGGTCATATTTAACAACATATGTTTACAAGAAAGACTGCTACCAAAATATACTGATATTTGAAAGCTAAATAACTGAAGAACTGAAAACTGACACCCCAGAAGTGACTCGAACACATACTTCCAGGAGCACTCTGCATCTGGCGTACAGGACACCTTAACTATTCGACCAACACGACCGGACAAAAGATGGTTAAGGTGTCCTGTTCGCCAGACGCAGAGTGCTCC